AAACAGGCTTTCAGGGATGGTCTCTCTGTGGTCACTTCTAGACAGAAGAGCATCAAGAAATGCATCCCAATAGAAGCTGATGAATTGGCATTGCCTTGCTGTACTGCTTGCCCAGATCAGCCCACTTTTTGGTTTATGCTGGTCCCTATGCCTTTTCTCATTCAGTCACATCAGGGGGTGGTCGCTGTAGTGGCAACATCCAGGTCTCCCTGTTGGTGACCCTGTTCTTGGTCTCCATTCCTGGGCCCGTTGGGGTGCATGGCCTGTGCTGATAGGAGAGGCGAAATCAGGCCATCCAAGCACATGATCAGTGAGTGGTCTTCCACTGTTCACAAGTACAAATGCATTCACTCTTGTGTTACTGCGTCTTCCTTCCTGTGTCCACCGTCTCATTTAAATAAACCCTGCTGAGAAGTTCGCCAATAGGGTAAGCAATGTCATGTGTAGCAACATTTTTCACATTGTAACTGTATGCTGCCTATAAAAAGATTGTTTTCTCCTCTTCCCTGTACCGCCTGCCCTTGTAGGACTAAAGTTAATTCCCCCTTTCCAAAATAATCAATTCTGAACCCAGCGCTCACTGCAGTTGATGGCAGCCTTTCTGTTAACATCTGCGGGCTTTGGAGCTGGTCTTGGAGATGCTGAGTAGGAGATCCAGTTTAGCGATTGACTCCAAGTATCTACCCGGTTTGGGGATTCTCTACAGAACATTTGCCGAGTATTAGACCATGGCATATAAAGGTACACAAGCCCATGCAGGTGGCTGGGCTTTCAGGATTCACTATGGCCCTGTCCTAATTATAGGACTATGCATGGGGATGCAGCAGGTACTTCTTCATAGCTCTTGTGTGATTAGTTTAGTCCGCTGTTCTTGCTCTTTTCTAATGTGGTAGTATGCAACTAATGGAAGTAAAGCTACCGAGTTAATTCAGCTGAACCTGTCTGAGGGTGTAACCCTTCAGCAGTGCCTTCTCGTGAGGGGGTTTCAGATGATTGTTGCGGTAGGGCCTAGCAGCGTGACACACAGACACCATTAAGCTAGGTCCTGTATAAGCACAGGACAGTAAGACCATCCCTGTCTGAAAGAGCAAACAGGCCAATATGCATTTTTAACCTTATAGATTATGCTAGGGAGCCCTTATTCCCCCTGATGAATTGGCTAACTCCACAAAACCCTGCTGGTTTCTGTAAGGCTACTTACCTGGGTAAGAGATCTCCAGGTGGATTAAGGTCTGCGCTATGTGATTGCTGATGTTGTAGGCTCTTAGAGGCAGGGCTTCTGCTACTCCATGTTAGTGCAGTGCCTAATGCAGCGCGCCTCCAGTTTTGGTTAGTCTCGGCTCTGCTGTAATAAGAATATTTCCATTATTCCAGAAGGCACAGGAGGTTGTGATCACAAACTGGCAAACCAGGGGGGAAAAAGAGCCATCATGCCTGGATGATCTCTGCTCAGCAAGTGTACGACAGGAGCTGCACTACTGCAGCCCCTGGTGTGACATACTAGTGGAAAGCCAGTGTTAGTGGGGTCCAGAATCAGGCCCCTGGTCTCCTGACTTCCAGGTGGGGGCTCTAGTCCACAGAGCTTTTCTCTCTTTGCATGCCTACTGCCTTTCCCGTTCTGTACAATATGTTTCTCGTCCTGTTTGGAGGGATGAGGTGCTCTCTAACCACTACTGAAACCAGTGGGAATCTTTCCACTGACTTCTGTGGAGTCGGACCTGACCCTTACAACAAATAAACAGATCCCAGCTGAACTTTTTTGAAGCTGTTCCTTTACCCGCTGTTTGTAGGCAAACAGTATTTTTTTTGTTTTACAGTAGAAAGAATTGGCATAGTCTTAGGCCTTCTGTTTGGAAGTCCATGTGTTTACTGAACCATTCCAGGAAGGCCACGGTCATTGGTGTGATGCACCATCTCTTGGCAAGACGTTGTCTTTGGGATAGGGAATGTAAATGGAGCATTTTTCAAATAACGCTAGCCCTGCATTGGAAGAGGAGAGTGGAGCGTCTCCGTGCACATCTTGGGAGTGCAGTCTTGCCCTCATGTTTTACCAGGTTGTGAGTAAGTCCTGATTTCAGTACTAAGGAAGAAGCAGTTTGGTGGCTGAGGAGAAGAGTTGGGTGTCAAGAGACTTTATGTTTGGCTTTGCCACTGCCATAATCACGGGCAAGCCCCTGACCCCTCTGTGCCTCTGGTTTTCTGTCCGTAAAGCAGAGCGATGCCAGGCTATGGTGGGGGTGACTTCCTTATCAAATGGCTCGAGATCTGGTGAAAGATACTGTGTAGAAAGAAGCTCATTGGCTTGACCTGGGTAATTGTTTCTCTCTTCCCACCCCCATCTGTTGAGTGAATGAGTGGAGGGTCAGCCGGGTTGTATATAGGGACAGTCTCTCTTTGTATTGTTGTGGGGTTGTTCCATGGGATTATCATTAGACGGGCATCTTGGTGCTATATGCTAAAAACGGAGGAATTAAATACATGAAAATTCAGTAAGGTTTGGGTAACTCCCTTCAGATCCTTTGAAAACCCCACACTTCTCCCAGCTCTCTGGAAAAATGCTTCCCCCTTTCTGTGGCTGGCTGGAACAAAGCCATTGCTTCCTACAGTGCTGTGTTGTGTATCTTGGATTAATCTTATCTGGCACTGGGGGTGAGGGTTATCTCCATGCAGTAGAAAGGAGGCTCCCTGTGGTTGTAGATCTTCCTCTGGCACAACACATGACAATCCTGAGCTGTAGCCAACACCCCTGAATGCATGCTCATACCTACAATGGGAAATGATATTAATCATTAGCCCGGCGGGAGGGCATGATGAATGTTGAATCGATTTATCTAGATTAACAACCGCATCTCATTCATTCCCTTTTCTTTTAAAACATGCCATTCCCAGAATACATACGTCCCCTTTCCATCGTTCCCATGTACACAAAACATACATCTGCTTTCCATCGTTCCCTCTCCTTCCTAGCCCTAAGAACTTGAGACTTGCCATTGACTGGGTCAGACCATAGGTCCACCTTGCCCAGTATGCTGTAGTTTCACTGGGTAGTGTCCGCTGCCTCATTGGACTCATTTGAGGGCTGGCGGGCACTGCTTGGCGTCCCCCCTCGGTGCACCGGTTCTGAACCTTTGACCCTCTCCCCACAGTTCCCATCCCAGTTTTGTTATCATTTGTCTCCAGAAATCAGCTGCCGCTTTCCCGGGGGCCTCCCTTACTGAGGGAGGCTTTTATTTTTACTTGGTGGGCACTGGGCCACGATCCCTTAAAGTGGCAAATAGGCATGTGTCACAGTGGCAGAGAGTGGATACTGGAAGGAAGAGTGAACTGGGTATGACCAGGGCTGTTTTGTTCCCCACCCCACTGACTGTTCATGTTATACTTCATCCTTTGGTCCTTTTTTTTTTTTTTTAAACTTAATGACCCCTTTTTTTTCTTCTTTTACAAAATGTTATTGAATTGCCACCCTTGAAGCTTTCCATCCAGCCTTCCATGGTCAACTGGTCTATACTGGGGCTGTTAAAGACATGGCCTGTAGGTCAGCCTGTGGGGCTTTGGGAGGGGCCAGGAATTCAGGAGTCGTTGGCAGTCCCTCAAAGTCAAGGATGATGTCCATCAGGGTTGATGGGCCCTCAGGTGACTGAGGAGTCCAACTCTGGATGCACACGCTCTTCGGCAATGGGGGCATGTTGTTGCGCATGGGGTGGGATTCGCAGCCCTGGGTTGGTCTCTTTCTCCTTCCTCCGCCACCGCTGTTCCACCTCAGTAGCAAGTCTTTGGACCTCAAAGTGGTGCGTGCCTTGGTGGACCAGGTGGCGCCACACCGAATGGTCAGCAGCTTGCTCCTCCCAGCCATTGGTATTGATGCCTCCGTGCTTGAGGGCGACCTTGAGTGTGTCTTTGTACTGTTTCCTTTGGCCACCCTTTGAGCGTTGGCCAGTGGAGAGTTGGGAAAAGAGAATATGGCGAGGGAGGCAGTTCTGGGACATCCGGACGCAGTGGCCCATCCATCAGAGTTGGTTTCTCAAGCGCAAGGCTTCAAGGCTGGTGGATGCAGCTACATGGAGGACGCTCACGCTGGTCCGGTGGTCCTCCCATTTGATCCCCAGGATTCGGTGCAAGCACCACTGGTAAAAGCTCTTGAGGGTCTTAATGTGGTGTTGGTAGACAGTCCAGGTTTCACTGCAGTAGAGAAGGGTGGTCAGCATGACAGCCTTGTAAATCAGGCCCAGGTTTACTAGTAGGGCAAAAGGGGTTTGGTCCCACCATCAAAATCCAGGGTGTAGAGCCCTGTTGGGGACACACTTCAGCTGCAGGGGGTGAGTCGTGGCTGTATGAAACTCTTTGCTGCTGCCACTTGCTCCACCACCAAAGGTGGGTCCATATTCAACCTCTGAGGAGCTGTGTGGCCAAGATCCAGCCTGGGAGGCCAGGTAGGTATGACACCCTTGATTTATGCTACATTTGTCTGCGCTATGATGTTGCACCCACGTGCATTGTATGATTCATGGAAGGATGCTGGGAATGTTGTGCTTGTTCTGGGACATTCAGCTTTCTGTACAGACCTGTGGATGCTCGTTCTCTGAGCAGCCTTTCCTTTTCTACTATTCTGTCTCATTCCTCTATTCATGTAAGGGTTGTTCTTCCCTCCCATCCTTCCCATCAGTGACTATATCAGACTCGGTCTACAGTATATATCACTCTCTTCATTCCTCCAAACCCACATTTCATGTAAGAAAGATCACATCTCCAGGACTATCTAGCCCTGGTCCTTCCCATGCTTTTCTTCCTCGGTGCACGCACTGTTACGACATTTCTGATTTTATCTTCTTCCATGATCTGAAAGGTTTGCTCCAGCTCAGCCCTGGGCACCTTTGAGGTGAAGCTGTCCCCTTTCCCTGTCCACTTTCCTTTTTCCACTTTTGTTGTGGACGCCTGCATGTCAAAAAAATAAGTTGTGACACCAAATTTGTCGTGACACCTGTTCGTTCTCTAACTTCTAGGACTTTGGCAGCACAAAATCCATCACCTCAAGGTGCGACTACATAGAAAACCTAATTGCGAATGGCTGTGCGGGAGCGATTGAGAGTCCCCAGAGCAGCATTAACATAGTGAAGAACAATTCGCTCAGCAGTAAGGGCTCCAGTTTGACCCACTCGGACGTTACTCAGATGATGCCTCAGAAGGTCTCCTTGAACCTACGCCCTGGTGAGTGTGTAGTGACTTGGGCTTTTCTTCTGGCAACTTGTGCGTGGGAAAAGCCGACAGAGTTGAGATATCTCATGATCCTGTTATTAAAGACGTGCAAGGCAGCTGCAGAGCCATACTGTACCCTACTGGTTTCAGTCTGTCGGTGTTGTGAATCTCAAAACGGGAGCGTTAGTACTTCTTTTCATTTGAGAGGGTGCTGTAGTTACGTTCCACTTAGCTCAGTCCTTTTATAAACCATTTTGTAAATGCTAACCGTAGCCCTTTGTAAATATTGAAAGGGAGCCCCTCAGCTCTAAAAAATCAGTCATTTAACAAATGGCTTTGGTTTCTACACCAGCTTTGACAATAGTTTTATGAGGAGTTTAGATTATGCATTTGTATGTGGTTTGGATAGGAATAATCCTACCTCTGGCATGGGATTGGACTATGTGACCTGTGAACGTCCCTTCCAGCCCTACTTCTATGACCAACCTTCACAATTTTTGGTGGCATTATAATCACAATATCTTAAACCCAACTTAAACCACCCCCGCCAACACAGCACATCTCATTCCTCTATCGCAAGGTAAAGATTTAGAACAACGGATACTTCAGGACCAGACATCAATTACTGACGTGGGGGAATGGGCCCTGTCACTTAGAGCCGGGAGCATGTCCATAGCCCATTATCATTCCTCTAAGCCATCAATTCCTCTGAAATATCTAATTAAAAAGGGAGGCTTTCATAAATAAAAGAGCCAGGATTGACCTATGGAAGCATGGTTATTATAAAAAGCTTTCTGGAGAAGGGGGGTAAAAATAAGATTTAGTGTGGGTTCAGAATTCTTGCAAAAATATTTGGCAGGATTCTTGCAAAAATATTAAGAAGAAAAGGGCTCTTTATGGCAAAGAGAAGCAAAGAGAAAAGCCTGATTCATAGAAGGAAAAAGTGTGTGTGTGTCTGGGTTTTGTGTGTTTTCCCTTTTTTCTTTTTTTCGCTACAGATCTTGCACGCACACTGAACGATGAAAAATGTCCCTTTATACCCATAACAGGGGGCAGACTGTGCTGCTATTGGTGGTGTGCTATGCCGATGCTTATTGAAGGGGTCCACCAATTTTTGCAGAATACAGTCCTTAAGTTTATGAAGGAGAAGGTAGGGCAGTGTGGCACCTTTTATAGACCAGTCTATAAATTGCCACACTGCTGCCTTCTGCCTAACTTTAGATGAATATAGTTTACCCCTCTCTATTTATGAAGTAGTTAGGAATCTAAATAACATCTATGTAGCAGTATTTCCAAACTCAAGATTGAAAATTGTGCATCAGACCTCAAAATATCATTAGTCTGGCTTCTGAATCATAAGCGTGCTGTGTGTGCTTGTTCTATCTTTTGTTTGTCTTTAAATCCCCTTTCCTCCGTGCCTGCATATGTGTGTGCATGAGGCCATTGCAGGCTGAAACATCAGGCTCTAATGCACATGCAGCATGCTCCTCTCTGGCTTCTCAGAGGAGGGCTGCCCTTGCCCTCCCCTTGCTGTATGTTGGATAGTTTTCCTTCAGCAAAAGAGCAGCTCTGATTTGGAGATACGTCCGTGGTTCTCAACCAGGGTGCTGCAGGATTCTTTCAAGGGTGCCAGGGGGTGCCACCCAATATTTGCACTGTTAGGTGTGCAATCACCTATTCGTGATTTGCAAGATAAGCCCAGAGATGTCAAATAGTAATCCACGGTGTCCAAAGCAGTCTGGGGTTTTTTGGTGGAGGCGATTCTGTGTACTTTGGAAGAGAAGAAGTGCTCTACTACTTTTCGAAGGTAAAAGAATGAGTGAAAGCTGAGAGCTGGCATTTTCTAAGGGGTGCCTTGAGTCTAAAAAGGTTGAGCACCACCGAGAGCCACTAAGAAGTTTGTTAAAGCAGTTGGTGGCAGAAAATACTGAATCAGCAGAGTGTTGCTCTCAAACCCTGACTCCTTAGGACTCTGCCTATCACGAAACTTGTAACCAGCACATTCCATAGCTGCTTCGTAAAGCAGTTTTACATGGATTGAAACATTTTCAAGCTGAACTATTTTGTCGCTTCAGGGTAAAGAGATGTCAGAGGATTCCCATAGGAAGACCTGTTTTAAGCTACTGGCCAGTCACCTTTGTGGGGAAAAAAGAGCAGCTCTCTGGCTTACCAGATGTTTTCTGTACTCACAATGGAGGACAGTCGTCAGCGACTAAACTGCAGTACTGCAATAAACCCTGGCTATGTTCAGGTCAAAATGTAAGATCCACAGTCTAGAGAGGACATTTGATTCTGGGAGAGAGGAGAAGAGGGAAACTGGGTTGGGTGGTGGGGAAATGAGCAGGTAAAAACACACCCCTTGGAAAGAAGAGGCAGTGGCAGTGCTATTGCCCGTTAGAGTCTGGTCACTCCTTTCTTGAGATGACCTGGCTCTTAGCCGGGGCAGGTAGATGTGCTACACACACAGTGCACTGTGCTTTGCTTTGTCCAGGTTGTTTTGGCTTGTGATTTATAGATTCGTAGATTCATAGACACTAGGGCTGGAAGGGACCTCGGAGGATCATCGAGTCCAGCCCCTGCCCCAGGGGCAGGAAGTCAGCAGGGATCACAGGATCCCAGCAAGATAAACATCCACATTTCTCTTGAAGGTGCTCAAAGTAGGTGCTTGAACCACCTCCGGCGGCAGGCTATTGCATACCTTGGGGGCTTGAACAGTAAAGAAGTTCTTCCTTATGTCCAGCCTGAAACGATCATGGAGGAGTTTGTGACCGTTCGACCTTGTCATCCCTTGGGCGCTCTGGTACTCGTGAGAACAATAGAAACCACTCTTCTAAGCAGAGAATAAGAACGAGATTGTGTGCTTGGAGGCAGAGCCAGTGGGAGGGGTGACAACAAATTACTTTAAGCCACCTTTTGCATCTTTTCAGTTCTGTGTCGGTCAGCGCTGGGACGAGAGGTTGCACTAGCTCTGCCTGGGCTGCTCGTGCCAGCTCTGTAGTGCAGAGCTGCTTAGATTCCCAGTATTTCTCAGCGCTGCAGGAACCCCCTTCTGCCTGTGATTTTGGCTGGTGATGCCTTTCCTGTATTTCAGACCAGCAACTTAGAGTGGAGCAATCATTATCCATTGGCCTTGCCCAATAGTGTTTCACCTGGATCTTTCTAATTGTCTAGTTATAATGGTCTAGTTTCTAATGGTCTAGCTATAAGCCAGACCTGCAAACCTCTATACCTAGAGGTAGGCTTCTGTGTCCTTAGAAAGATTCCTAACTCACTTGGTATAGCTCCATTGACTTCAATGGAGAGACAGGATTTATGGTCCTGTAAGAGATCAAAATCAGACCGTCTGTTTTAAATACACTATGGTTAAAATTGTCTCTACCTACAAAGAACCTTGGCTGGATAAGAGGAATATAACCCCAGGAGATGGAATTAATGACTAAAAAAATCATGTTTTATTGTCCACTTAACCCTAACCATCAAGCAAAAAAAGAAATAAGCACTTGTGCGGGAAGCCTGAAAGGCCCCTCCCAAAAAAGTCACCATGTGCTAAGCAGGTAAGCCTTCTCCAGCTTCATGGGTAAATCTCTCTTCTCACTCTTACAGCACTGACTCAGAATTAATTCCTGAGTTTGCATCATAATATCGGGTAACAGGAGTCAGTGCACCGTGGCCCACCCCTACCCCGCCCCGGCTGCGGCAGAATGGAGCAGTGCGGGACACAGCCCTCCCTTCTGAGGCTCCTGGCCAACGAACCAGATAGGATCAATTAGCAGACCGGGTATGGCCCACAGGCCATATTTCGCCCACTCCTGGATTAGTCCTGTCTTGGCAGATGAAACCAGTAGCACGTGTAGATGTTGCTGCAAAAAAAGAGGCTTTCTCAGCATCACTGCAGTACACGTGTTCTACAACACGGACAGATCCTGCAAACACTTACATACTAAATTTGCACCTTGTAACTTGGTTTTGGTGAAACTGCTCACAGGGTGTGAATTTTAGGCACTTGTATAAGTTTGCAGGGGCCTGGTATTAGAAGAAGCCTTTTCCTTGTGCTGAAAACTTATCATGCTTTTTGGGTATAATCCTGACCTTACAGAAATCCGTGTCAAGAATACCCCTGATTTCAACAGAATGAACATTTCATCATTTAGCCAGAGTTCATTTGCTTTGCTGGGAAGAGAGAAGAGCTGTATGTGAGAACAGCTCTTTGTGCACAAAGGAAAATCCTTTTTAGTAACCTGAAAGAAGAAACCTGCTTGTTAGGAATTTGAGGGCACGGTTGTGGGGAGGGAAGGGGGGGATGAGCTGCGTGCCACATCAATCACATACACTGCGCGCGTATTTAGTGCTGCAGGTGAAATTAGTACTCGGAAGAATCTCATGCGGTCTGGAGAGCAATGAAAGGATTGTAGCTTAAAAACTTTCATTGGTGTTAGTGATTAAGCATCTGTTGCTCTCTAGGGAAGAGATGGGAGTCATTAGTGCTTCTGAAGATTTAACAGGCTTGGAACAATGCTGCGCTTCCTGTTTAATGTGCAGCAGCAGTGACAGATCTTATTATGAATGATGATGTAAAATTTAAATGCAGCTAAATAAAATGCTTGTGCTTTGTATGTTGCTTGTGCATGGGTGCACAAAATGACCGTTTAAGGCAGGGGTTTTCAATCTTTTGGGGTCAGTGCACACCTGGCAGCCAGTCGAGAAGGAAGGAGTCCCCTGGCTCGGCTAGTGTGCCGGTGGCAGAAGTGCCAGTGGAGGAAATGGTGGCAGTGCCCACTGCTGAATACCCCCTGAGGCCTTCCCAAGTACCCCCAGGGGTATGCATACCCCCAGTGGAAAACCCCTGATTTAAGTCATCTGGTTGAAATACAATATATCAGATGATGTCATATCGCCCCTCATTTTCTTTCCATGCATGGGGTGTCTCTCTTCCTTGCAGAGGTTGGATGTGTCAGAACAGAGCAATAATCTCTGTGTTTTAAGTTTCCTTTCAAATTGTCTAGGTCCCAAACTTTTGTTTTTGAATAAAGTACAGACTCTAATGGGAAATAGCAATCTGATTTACTTACTTGTCCCACTCCCCCCCACCCCCATGTACTATGCATTCCTGTAACACTAAATTCAACAGATTGCAATTAAACTGCCTGTTCTCCTACCCTCTCAATCAGTGTGAATAGATGTGCATGATCATTTATGAACTTCCCAGATTGCCTCTTGGGCAACATGTTGTGATTGTCTGATAACTTTGTTCTTTTGTAGGCCCTCTTTTAATTCATGTCCTGTTGCATAACGGCTTTCCTGGATTGCAGTGAGAAAGTGCTACTTAAAAGGAAGCTGGGAGAGGACAGGGAGGGGTATTTATTACTCTGGCATGCTGCTTCTAAGATACTAGGTTTTAGAAGCCATTGTCTGGGAAGCCATTGTCATGGGCTGCCTGCCCATGGCGTGGCTGTTAATATAGAAACTGCCCCTCTTTGATAGCTTCATTTTTATCAGCAATTTTATTGTGCAAGTTGTAGGGGGAAACAATGAAATGTCATAAAAGGGGGCCTGGTTTGGAGATATCCCTTGATCTAAACCTGCCGGGAAGTCATTTTAAGGAGCTGTGTCTCCTGAACTAAGATACTATGTCTGCCTCTCTTCCTTGTACCCCATTGTAACTCTGTCAAACCATTGGGAGAGTGAAGATGTACGCTTGTGTGAGAGAGAGGAGAACTGGGGAAACTTATCTAGGACAAGGTTATTTGGGTAAATGTGATATCTTTTATTAGACCAACGAAATAGTTGGAAAACGTTCTTTGCAAGCTTTGTTTCTTTGAAAGTTAGCAAAGAACAATTTTTTCCAACTATTTATTTAGTCTAATAAAAGATGCCACATTTACCCAAAGAACCTTGTCTGCCAGCATCCTTAGACTAACATGGCTACAACCAACATCCCTGAGAAGTTACCTGGGGTTATCGGATGACAGGCAGGTTGTAATGTGCCATAAATCCCATGTCTATATTTAGTCCCAGATTTTTTTTATATCCAGTGGATTTATGAAGTGAAGTTTGTAGGCTCGTCTGCAAAAGGTGTTTTGTAAATTCCCGTGAGGATTAGAACTGAGAGACTGGGGAGAGGGTGGTTGTCTTGTGAGAGATGTGCACCCACAGGTAATGGGGCACTTTTGTCTTTGATGGATTTTTTTCGGTGTGTGTTTGTTCTGGCACGCGGTTCTCGTTTGGTTTCTCCTACGTAGCTTCCACCGGGGCATTCAGTGCACTGGATGAAATATCACATTTCTGGAGGTGCAGGTGTAAGATCCAGGAACGGAGATGGTTTTCTTGTGGGGCATAGTTATTATGGTGTTGGGTCATTTCATTTTTGTTTAGAAACTCTCCCTTTCTGCCTTCAGAATGAAGTGCAGCTCTAAATGACAAAAACGGTTTTTGGGGGGTGGAGGGACAGGGGTTGTCCCCAAATCAGTGCCTAATTGAGGCTCAGGGTATGTCTAAGCTACTGGTTCTCAACATTTTTATACTCAAGGCACCCCTCGGACAATGTCTGCCCTTAGTTTTCGCTTGGTTTTTTGACTTCAGAAAACTAACAGAGTAATTCTTCTGCTGCAAAGAGCTCAGAAAGACCACACCAGACCAGGACACTTTAACGCTATGGATTCCTATTTGAAATCTCTGAGGGTGTTTTAGGAATCGAGTATGTATACCTAGCAGCGCTAGCATTGCATGGCATGTCCCGCAGCACTCTTGACAGGATCTCAAGGCACTTGCTTGAGCTGGAGAAAGCTCCACACATGCCCAGACCTGGAAAATAGGCAGTGGAAAGAGCCTGGAAGCAACTCCAAGGTATTGCCCCTGCTAATTTGTGGGGCTGGGCGTGTGTGGAGCGAGCCTGTCGGGTACCCATCCCAGGCTCACAGAAGACAAATTTGGACCTTAGTCCAAGATGTCAAAAAACTTTTATCCATCCTCCTCTTCCCCCTTCCTGCATGCTTGTAGCTCTGCTGTGTTGGATTCAGTGAAGGAATAGCATATGCGTATGTGCTACTGAAAGGAAGGCATGCTGGGTCTGGGTTTTGCATGTGATACCAATTTTACATTGCAGCAGGAAGCTGTTTTGCAGAACCGTTCATACTTTCAACATGAATCTCTGTGCTTGTTGCTGGTAGTGGTTAGACTGATTATATAAGAAACAGAAGGTACGAATGAAGCCAGTCAAGTGGGGGCCGGGGTGAAAGGGGGAAGTAGTTCTCTAGGAAACATGTTCTTGACATTGCCTCCAACTTTTCTGTTCCTGCAGGGGACCAGACCTCTTTCCGAGTGCAGGTTCGACAGGTGGAGGACTATCCTGTGGATTTATACTACCTGATGGATCTCTCCCTGTCCATGAAGGATGACAAGTGCCAGTGGAGGAAATGGTGGCAGTGCCCACTGCTGAATACCCCCTGAGGCCTTCCCAAGTACCCCCAGGGGTATGCATACCCCCAGTGGAAAACCCCTGATTTAAGTCATCTGGTTGAAATACAATATATCAGATGATGTCATATCGCCCCTCATTTTCTTTCCATGCATGGGGTGTCTCTCTTCCTTGCAGAGGTTGGATGTGTCAGAACAGAGCAATAATCTCTGTGTTTTAAGTTTCCTTTCAAATTGTCTAGGTCCCAAACTTTTGTTTTTGAATAAAGTACAGACTCTAATGGGAAATAGCAATCTGATTTACTTACTTGTCCCACTCCCCCCCACCCCCATGTACTATGCATTCCTGTAACACTAAATTCAACAGATTGCAATTAAACTGCCTGTTCTCCTACCCTCTCAATCAGTGTGAATAGATGTGCATGATCATTTATGAACTTCCCAGATTGCCTCTTGGGCAACATGTTGTGATTGTCTGATAACTTTGTTCTTTTGTAGGCCCTCTTTTAATTCATGTCCTGTTGCATAACGGCTTTCCTGGATTGCAGTGAGAAAGTGCTACTTAAAAGGAAGCTGGGAGAGGACAGGGAGGGGTATTTATTACTCTGGCATGCTGCTTCTAAGATACTAGGTTTTAGAAGCCATTGTCTGGGAAGCCATTGTCATGGGCTGCCTGCCCATGGCGTGGCTGTTAATATAGAAACTGCCCCTCTTTGATAGCTTCATTTTTATCAGCAATTTTATTGTGCAAGTTGTAGGGGGAAACAATGAAATGTCATAAAAGGGGGCCTGGTTTGGAGATATCCCTTGATCTAAACCTGCCGGGAAGTCATTTTAAGGAGCTGTGTCTCCTGAACTAAGATACTATGTCTGCCTCTCTTCCTTGTACCCCATTGTAACTCTGTCAAACCATTGGGAGAGTGAAGATGTACGCTTGTGTGAGAGAGAGGAGAACTGGGGAAACTTATCTAGGACAAGGTTATTTGGGTAAATGTGATATCTTTTATTAGACCAACGAAATAGTTGGAAAACGTTCTTTGCAAGCTTTGTTTCTTTGAAAGTTAGCAAAGAACAATTTTTTCCAACTATTTATTTAGTCTAATAAAAGATGCCACATTTACCCAAAGAACCTTGTCTGCCAGCATCCTTAGACTAACATGGCTACAACCAACATCCCTGAGAAGTTACCTGGGGTTATCGGATGACAGGCAGGTTGTAATGTGCCATAAATCCCATGTCTATATTTAGTCCCAGATTTTTTTTATATCCAGTGGATTTATGAAGTGAAGTTTGTAGGCTCGTCTGCAAAAGGTGTTTTGTAAATTCCCGTGAGGATTAGAACTGAGAGACTGGGGAGAGGGTGGTTGTCTTGTGAGAGATGTGCACCCACAGGTAATGGGGCACTTTTGTCTTTGATGGATTTTTTTCGGTGTGTGTTTGTTCTGGCACGCGGTTCTCGTTTGGTTTCTCCTACGTAGCTTCCACCGGGGCATTCAGTGCACTGGATGAAATATCACATTTCTGGAGGTGCAGGTGTAAGATCCAGGAACGGAGATGGTTTTCTTGTGGGGCATAGTTATTATGGTGTTGGGTCATTTCATTTTTGTTTAGAAACTCTCCCTTTCTGCCTTCAGAATGAAGTGCAGCTCTAAATGACAAAAACGGTTTTTGGGGGGTGGAGGGACAGGGGTTGTCCCCAAATCAGTGCCTAATTGAGGCTCAGGGTATGTCTAAGCTACTGGTTCTCAACATTTTTATACTCAAGGCACCCCTCGGACAATGTCTGCCCTTAGTTTTCGCTTGGTTTTTTGACTTCAGAAAACTAACAGAGTAATTCTTCTGCTGCAAAGAGCTCAGAAAGACCACACCAGACCAGGACACTTTAACGCTATGGATTCCTATTTGAAATCTCTGAGGGTGTTTTAGGAATCGAGTATGTATACCTAGCAGCGCTAGCATTGCATGGCATGTCCCGCAGCACTCTTGACAGGATCTCAAGGCACTTGCTTGAGCTGGAGAAAGCTCCACACATGCCCAGACCTGGAAAATAGGCAGTGGAAAGAGCCTGGAAGCAACTCCAAGGTATTGCCCCTGCTAATTTGTGGGGCTGGGCGTGTGTGGAGCGAGCCTGTCGGGTACCCATCCCAGGCTCACAGAAGACAAATTTGGACCTTAGTCCAAGATGTCAAAAAACTTTTATCCATCCTCCTCTTCCCCCTTCCTGCATGCTTGTAGCTCTGCTGTGTTGGATTCAGTGAAGGAATAGCATATGCGTATGTGCTACTGAAAGGAAGGCATGCTGGGTCTGGGTTTTGCATGTGATACCAATTTTACATTGCAGCAGGAAGCTGTTTTGCAGAACCGTTCATACTTTCAACATGAATCTCTGTGCTTGTTGCTGGTAGTGGTTAGACTGATTATATAAGAAACAGAAGGTACGAATGAAGCCAGTCAAGTGGGGGCCGGGGTGAAAGGGGGAAGTAGTTCTCTAGGAAACATGTTCTTGACATTGCCTCCAACTTTTCTGTTCCTGCAGGGGACCAGACCTCTTTCCGAGTGCAGGTTCGACAGGTGGAGGACTATCCTGTGGATTTATACTACCTGATGGATCTCTCCCTGTCCATGAAGGATGACTTGGATAACATTCGGAATCTGGGAACCAAGCTGGCGGAAGAGATGAGACAGCTCACCAGCAATTTCCGGCTGGGTTTTGGCTCTTTTGTGGACAAAAACATTTCTCCTTTCTCCTACACTGCTCCAAAATATCAAAACAATCCCTGCACTGGGTAAGTGGGGTATGCCCTCTGGGGCAAAGCACCAAATGGACCAAGGCTGATGCAGGGAGCAGTGGGTTTGCAGAAGAGATGGTCTGGTAGATACACCACTGGACTGGTACTCAGGAGGTGGGGGATCCATTCTTGGCCTTGCCACTTTGGACCCCTATGCCTTATTTTTCCCCCCCATCTGTAAAATGGGGATAACAAAATGTACCTTCTTCATAAAAAGAGTGAGATCTATGGATAAAGAAAAGAACTAGGTGGGATTGGGATAACATATGTTGGGAGATGCCAGGCTGTTGTTAAATTGCCAGCATCGATGTTTCTTATAGTAACTGTGGCTGTATGCTACCAGTCATTCAATAGCACTCTGTTCAGCTGTGTGCATTGTGCTAATGGTTGAGTGTTATGCAAGGGGCATGTCACAGCATAGGTCATTGCAGGCAGCTGATCGACCTGGCTACACACACACAGAGATGACCCTAGGGGTGTGCAGGGGCTGGGGGGGTGGCATGCCAGTGGGGGGTGGGTGGCGAGCAGTTGGAGTGCGGAGCCGGCGGTGTGCGGTGTGGCCTGTATGGCACTGACCCCAAAGCGCGGGGCCTGGGGCAGTCACCCCGATTCACCCTACCCCCAGGGACATCCCTGTATACACATTTCCAGTTGCAAACTGCTTTCCTCGCAGCCCCTTCTTTGACAATGGTTCCATAGGGCCCTTTTCCCCCGAGCGCGTTACAATGCTGAGCATTGTTTAGCAAGCAGACAAGCAAACACAGCTTAGTGCTGTACTCAACAATGCATTTATAGTCTGGGCTAGCAGTGGGTACAAGCAGTGAAATTCAGATCTGATATTCAAGACGCTTGCTTTCTCTCCCAGTTCAGGGCTGTTCAGAGCTGTCACTCCATTTGGGAGCTTCTCAGCTCTGCAGAAAGACAAGCACTTGCTGCAAAAATCTGCTAAAGCCAGTGTTGACTTTCCCGGGCTTTAGTTTAAACCCTCAGTAGTGCCACAGACGCTATCCACGTGGGTAGGCAGACACAGTGGTCTGGAGGCTCTGGTGATTTTTGGATCAGACACATTACAGATGCCTATGCCTAGGCTTTCAGAGGCGCTGAATGTCTGCAGCTATACTATCATACTATACTATCATACACTGTTCGAAACAGGACTGAGTTCTGGAGTAGTCAAACTTCAAAGCTGACATCAAGATCTTCTAAACCACCAAAACTGATCTAGGGATTTTTTGGTGATGGTAGGTGCAGTTCGATATGCTGAGGAATGTGCAGACATAGGTGTGGTTGCTTCAAATCCTAGTCCAAGCTCTGATTCATGCTGTGACCTTGGACATGGGATTTAAGCTTTTTGCCTCCCTTTTCTTATCTGTAAAATGGGAGGGTATTGTTGTCTATCTTGTAGGGTTGTTAAAAGGATGAACTACCTGAAAGTTAGGATGGCTAATGAAGGATTGTGAAGTGCTTTGAAGGCATGTGCTAGAAAGTGTTGCAATTTTTTTGTTCTTTTAATGAGAGAGTATACTGGGTGGAAAGGTCTTGCACATATTACAAAAGCTCTTGATCATCTCTGCATCCCAGAAAGCACTGACATTTTTTGCTTTTTTAATGAGAGTGTGCTGGGTGGAGAGAGCTTACAAAAGCTATTGCTCATCTTTGCAACCCAGTTTGCTTCCCGGTTCTAGAGTTTTCCTGGCTGTGGTTTATTGGCTTAGGCAGAACATTTGTTGGTAGTTGCTGCTCTTGCCTGTACCAGTATAGATCCATTGAAATCAGTACTATACTAGACCACATGTGGCTTAAGTGGAGGAAATCAGGCCTGCTGGTGTCAGGCCTCCAGAGCTTCTGCTGGGGACATGTGGGGTGAGAGTTGGACTTGTGTTAAATCTCAATGTTTTTCAGTGAGAAAGGGGTTTAATGCTGAGCACGGGTGGAAAATCTTACCCATGGTAACATTTGACCTTCTCAGCAATAAACTGCCCAAGAAAGCTGTGTTCCACGAACTACAATGTCTGGGAAAACTCGTGGTTGAGCAATATTTTTCATTAACAGGCATTTTTTGCATGTCTCTCTTCCAAATAGAGCCTAGAGGTCTGAGGATGTTCTGTTCACGTCCAGATCATCTCGGTCCTGGCACTGAAAGCATGGGAGCTAGTTTCATGAGGTTCTGGCATCTTGGGCCAAAGACTTGACTTGTCCTTTGAGGTTTCAGCAGCATCCTGCCCTTTACTGGAAAACAGACTTCTTCTGTGTTGGAAATGACTTGGAACCAAGATTTTAGGGCTGGCTTTAGACCTGTGCTTTCAAACAGCATCCCTGAATTCAAAAGGGTTCAGACTAGGTGCCTGGTCTGGTCTCTAATATCTGGACTTGGTTTCAGACTGCTTTTGGGAAACTTGACTAGATGGTCATTGACAGCCAGCTGAATGGGCCTGATTCTTGTGCGCCGTGTTAAATGGGTCACTGCACTGACTTCAGTGCCCTTGCACCATGTTTTTAATGGCATAAGGGAGAGAAGGGTTGGGCTCATTCTGCTGATGTGGATTTAACTTCTGAGCGTGCAAGTCAGAGCTGCTTCATGTGCAGAGTTTATAGGAGAGGACCCAGCTGGCTGTGACCCACCAAGAAATACCTCAAACAGGCCCTTCCACCTGCACTGCTCTCTCTCAAAACCAATACGACGTTACTTGAAGTTGTCTGTGCTGCATCCGCTGTGTTCCTAGCCCTGGGATAGTGCTGATGTGAAAAACCCAGCCTGGCTGAGCAAAACTGGCAGGGAATGAAGAACTGGCTCTGACAAATGTTTGCACCTTGAAGGCCGTCCTGTGTCAGAGCCCATTCTTCTGAACGCTGGGCTCGCCTGGTACCGTTGACAAGGCACCAGCATACGTGGATGGCTATCTGCCATAGTGGTACTGGATACCCTCCCCTTTATACTCCCCCCCCCCCGCTATATGAATTGTGCCTCAAGTATCTATGCTCGGTCATCTTCACTGCTGGTGTCTTCCGATTTCAGGGGAAAGGCTTCCAATCAAGTTTGCAAAATCTTCCAGAAAGGTGGCTAAGATGATAGTTAGCTTTGAATGACTGGGTTTGTATCTTGTTAAATGGGAGTGAAGGAGGCTTTGTTGCAGGGGCAGGAGGTGGAGGAAGGGACCACTTACACACTGTTTTAAGCAAGCCTGGATTTGGTGAGAAGTTTTGAGAAAGCCCAGTGGTTTAGCTGGCACACCCCATTTATTGATAAGGGGTTTTGAATTCTCTCTTACCCACTTATTATCTTCTCCTGGATCCCCATTGTATTGCCATGGAAGGGGGATTGTGTTGCTGTGTTGCTTTTGAAGAGAACAGATCTCTCATTTATTAGGCAGATTTTCCCCCTCCCCCTGACATTTTGCTTGTTTTAGGCCAATATAAAAACATCTTGCACCCAAAAAAAGCCACGGCCAGGGCCAAAACCACTCTTGGGAGCCTTTTGCTGAGCCCCAGATAAGTCAGGGCTTCAGAGATCACCAACACCTGGAGTTGAAACTCAAGGCAAAGTTGGATCTTGGAGAATCTGACCCTTCTGCTTACAGGCATCCCTTGGGGCTGCTCATGTCCTCTCTTTCCAGGCTCCATCTCCTGTTTTTGGTCCAGTCTAGCTAGAACAGGGGTGGGCAAACAGCAGCCCACAGACTGGGTCTGGTCCCCCAAGGGATTTTATCCCTCTTGTGGCAGGTCCCTTGGCCCCACCTGGCCCTGGCACAGGGCACAGCACAGGTCGTGGCGCGTGCAGCTAGTCCCACCGCCCTTGGGCATACAGCAGGGCTGGGGTGGCATGGTGGCTGGACTTGCTTCCTGGCAGCCCCGGTGGCAGTAGCTTCTTCCAGCTGCCACTGCCAGTCTCCACTGCCAGACCCGGCCCCACTGCCTGGGGGTACCCTAGCCCGTCCACCCCCTGCCCACTGCCGGGCTGCCAGACTGGGTGGACAAGGACTTTATGGAGACTGGCTCAGGACCCATGCAGGCAGGGTGCACTCAGCTGGCTGGCTGGGATGGGGCCGTGGGTGGGCAGGGAGCAGCATCTGGGAGTGGGACAGATGGGCAGGGGTAGGGCTGAGGCTGGGATTGGGATCTTGGGACCATCACAGCAGGGTGGGGTTGGGGTCTGCAACAGAGCCACGATCTGCTGCCTGTACACCCCTATGATGGGCACTGGTTTCACAGGCAGGGGTGTGCGGGGAGCGGGTCATGGCTCTGCCCCCGGTCCCTGCCCTGCACTGCCACCACCCTGATCCTGATCCCAGTGCCACCCGCCCTTTCCACCCCCAAACCACTCTCCACCTGCCAGCAGCCCCATTACACTTGTCCAGCTGAGCACACCCTACTCGCATGGGTCCCAGACCTGTCTTCATGGAGACCCTGGGATTGCCAGGCAGTGACAGCGTGAGGCCAGGCCCCGGACCAGAGCTACATAGGGAGTTTCGGTGGGCTGTTGTGGGGCGGGTGAGTGGGAATGCTGACCTGTGCCCGCTCACCAAAACTCCCTAAGCAGCCTTCCAGCCCAAATAACCTAACTGCCCACCCCGAGCTAGAAGCTGGCTGACCTGCAGTGTACAGGTTGCCACCGCACCCAGTTACAAACACTGCTGTGTCCCATAATTAAATGCATGCACAGTAACATAGAACAAATGCACAGAGATTAGCCATTGTACGACATACACTGGCACCTGGGCACATGGCTGGAAATATTTTGGCTTGTAAGGAATCTGAATTCTCAGTGGCTGTATTAAACCAAATACTCCCTTGTTAAAAGCCTCTTACAAGCTATCATGTTATACCAAATAGTTCCCTGAGCATAAAGCTGTCACTGGGGGCCTTTTAATTGTTCACCATGTTTATCTTGCATGCTAAATGGATCAGTAAAAGTCTAACGCTCTGTTTTCAATTCCTTTTCCTTTACGCGCCCCCCCCCGCCCGCCCGCATATACACATGCTCTTACTGTGTTTCCACTGAATTAATTCAGCACTAAAGTAAGGCCTCTGGGTAGCTTCAATAGCTGAATGTCAGCAAATTGGGCTTGAAGTTCTTAGGTTGCAAAACTGCTCCTGCTCCAGCAAAACAAGCCTGGAAGCTGAAGCTGCCTTCATATGGGTCGCATGTTTGTAGGAAAAAGTAATGCTGAAGATTGTGCTCTCTCTACTGAGAACTTAGTGCAGGGTGGGCAGAAATGGGTACAGGGACGGGCTGACTCTGCCCCGGACTGACTCGGTAAGCTGAGACAAGTCACTTAGCTTTATGTCACTCAGTTTTGCGGGATTGAAAGCCCGAGATGTGTGTTTGTTCACGTCACTTGAGTACTGTGCAAATGCATGAGCCAATGTTTGTACACGGTGTTTAATGTGTAAAGTGGGTATAAGTGCTAAAGATGGTCGGCGATTGGGATGGTGACGGAGTGCCTCATCTGTAAAAGCACTGGACACCAGATGGGAGTGCTTATCCAGGAGTCCACAGTGGTCTGGAGAAGCCATGGTAGTTTGTGACGCTGGGTGTATCCATCAGCCTGGGTCTTCTGCCTTATTGAATTCGGAGATTTGGTTCAGTGCTCACAGTGCAGCCACTTAGGAAATAATTAAATTTTGAGACGACAAAGTTTTCTTTTATCTTTCTGGTCTGTAGACTCAAAGAGCAACTGCTAGCCCTATTTTACAAGTGCCAAAGCTTAACTGAAGGTCTGTGTTTTCCAAACAAGCCTTTTTTTTTTCCTCCTTTCCCTCTTCTTTGTTTTCTGTGCACACTTTTTTTTTGGCATTGAGAAACTGTGAATCCTGCTATAACTTTCTGGAAATCACAGGGGACCAGAATATCTGGGATATATTTCTAGTTTAAGCGTCTAACATTGTTGTGGCACCTAAAATGAGTAGCTGTATTGAACTCTTTTGTGTTGGGCAGTTTGCCCAGAGGGACTGAGCTCTGTTAGACCAACTCTTCTGTATTATGCAGGCAGTTAACCAGATCGTCTTCATCTTATTTCTCATTTCTGCTTCCAGCTACAAGATATTTCCGAACTGCGTCCCGTCCTTTGGCTTCCGCCATATCTTGTCTTTGACGGATAAAGTGGACAGTTTCAACGAAGAGGTTCAGAAACAGAAGGTTTCCCGAAACAGAGATGCTCCAGAAGGCGGTTTTGATGCAATCCTGCAGGCGATCGTGTGCAAGGTGAGTCGCCTTGGCTTCATATACTCCCTGGTTTTAAAGCAAAAAAATAGAAAGGAGCCTTTCAACAAATGTCTTCTTGCAATGTCAAAAGAGAGACACACCCTGGTACATGGAGCCATTAACTTTTGCAGGGGGCACATAGAAAGCTAGTCCAATAAAAGTTATCGCTCCCAACTCCTACTGCTTCTGGAAGTAGGAGGCTGTTTTGATATACCTCTTTGTGCCTAGAAGAGCCAGAGTAGTAGCTCACCTAGCTCAAAGGAAGAAAGGAGACTCCTTTCAAATGGGAATTTAGGCCAAGAGAATGGTTTCCTTTGGTAGATCCGTGGGTGCCCTTACTGATGCCTTGGCTACCATTTGCATGTGCTTGAGTGGAGAGGTGGAATTTTTTTTTAAAGTGCTCGTGGTGTCTGCTTAACATGCTGAGTGTGAGTTGTATTCTGTTTTTTGTCAAGGCTGGCTCACATGGAGGGTAAAAGTCCTTAGCTAGTAGTACTAATTGGCATTCCTCTTCCAGCTCCGTCGGTAAAGCCCTGGGCTCTTAGCACTGACAACTTCAATTCTGTCCCCTACCATTTGAGCTGTTCGAGCGAGTTACGGATGTGACATGGCAGCTGGAGTTCGAGTAGTCAGACTGCCAGGCCTCCGTGTCACTGCAGCATACGTGAATTGTACAGCGGTATGCTGCAAGCATAGGAATTGCCTTCTGGCTCTCACAGCTCTCTTCTGCCAAATAAATCCTTGCTGTCCTACTTCTATACGATGGAAAAGCATCACAACCCCAGTCATATACTCCCTTGTGTGATTTCGCTGCATCCTTTGGGCTGGGCTGGAAAATTTCTCCATGCAAGGAGCAGCTGAACTGGCTCTCTCTGTCTGCCAGCTCAAATGCTGCGGTGGAGGGGGAGAGGGAAGGCTGTGTATCTCAAACTATGAAACTGGGAGATCTTTAAAGGAAGCTGTCAGTGCTGTTGCTGTCTCTCTCAGCTGTTCGACCCCTGACATCTGGTTCAGCTAGTGACCATGTGTCTAGGGCTTGTCTTTTATCTCTGGCATGCAATAAGGTTTTTGTTTGCTGCAGTCCATTGCGCGGTCCTGGCAGGATGTTTTCTTCTGCGCCTGCACTGGCAAGTCGGGGATTGTACATATCTGGAGACAGCCCTCATCTTTAGAAAGGGCCCTTCTGATAAAGGTTTAAGGCAGTTTGGCTTGATCCTGATGTACGCAGTGTATGGGTGGGAAAAACTCAGAGTACAGCATCTGGTTCACTGTACAATTTAAACTCTTTTTATGATTAAATGTTCCCTTCTGGAATTTGTATAAACCGTGTTTCCTTTGCCATCCTGGCACAAGTGCTATTAATGGCAAAATTACAAGCTGTTTTAGTATCAATCTAAGCAAAAAGTGTTTATAATTGAGGTATTTAAATTGCATCTAGGTCTTATTTTGTTAGACTTTCCTTTCTTCTTTTAAAGGAAAAAAAAGGACATAAGAATGATTCCATTTAATTTCCAGGCTTCTGTTGGTTTGTAGTATTGAATAAAGTTATAAAGTCTTCCTCTCTGCCAAAAGTCACACCTTTTAAGCAGCTGTGACTCCAAGGTTCAATATTGAACATCCTACCAACGTTTAACATGAATAACATTTGCTACCGGCAATATGCATCTCTGCAAATTTTCTTGGAGTTTCTCGCTGAATTGGTGGGATTCAAAGGGTGGGGAGGAAGTGTTTTGGCTGGGGGTTAGTTTGAACTTTCCTGGTATTGTGCTATCTTGCAGATATTTAAAGTGCCACCAACATGTTGTATAACTATAGTAGGAAACTTGGACTTGGCCCTTGCAATCGTAGGTAGTTCAACTTCAATCCAGAAGATCAGCCTCCTAATTCTTAGCAGCTGAACTAAAAGCTTTGCGACTAGCTCTCACCCCTAGGCAGAACATTGCCCCCAAACTAGGTCTCACACTTGCACATGAAGGGGTGAAGCATGGCTCAGTGGTACAGGTGGTGACCTAGAAGCTAGGAGACCCTGGTTCAGTCATCTGCCTGCCACTGACATCCTGGATGACCTTGACCAAGTCACTTCATTTCCTGCAGGAACCATGGAAGAAGTATCATAGTACTTAGGGTCAGAAGGGACCTAAACAGATCATCAGGAACGGGCAGGAACGGGTGCCGGGATCATAACACCCCAGCCAAATATCTATCCAGCCTCCTCTTGAATCTCTCCTCTTGAAAGTTTGCAAGTCGTGGATTCCTCCAGGTTACTTGTAATCTGCAGTCCCTCAAGCACTGTTGATACCAGCATTAGTTTGTACGAGGGACACAAAATGAATGAATTTGTGACTAGGACCAAAAGAGCAAGCGGGTTACAACACAAGCTCCGCGCCCAGAGGCAGTCGGGAGGTAGAGGGCTTCTGGGGCGAGCACTCACAAAATAATTGAGCTGCTGTCCTGAATTTGCTTTTGTTTGAAGTGACTGGGGCAGCACATTGGGCATTTGTGCACTCGCGTGGCGGCACAGGGTGACCAGGAAGCTGTTTTCCTGTACTCCTGTATGTGCCTGACAGACATGAACCCATTACAGATCTCTAGATGAACTCTTAGCAGCCTGTACTCCTCCTGACTGTTGTGTCTCTGTTTTACACCCCCAAGTTGCATCCTGCCTGCATACTCCAGTCCTTCCAGTTTCCACTTGCTTCCATATGAATCCTGTATTCACATGACATAATTAAATTACCATGCCCAGGCTGCTGGGTGCTGTGCTCCAATAGTGTTTTTAACACCATGTGAGAGAGCGAGGGAGATGATGCCATCAGTGCCCCAAGGACCTTGCACCTCTTAGACAGCCCAGGCCATGGTCTTCTGTTTCGAGCAACAAGTCTGAAACCCCTTGTTGACACAAGACTGTTTCCTCCAAGTGTTTTAATATTGCCACCACTTTCCCCTCTTTAATCAGCACCTATGGGTGCCTGTACACAAGTCCGTAGGCTGCTCCAATGTGTTGTAGTTGCAGTGCAGCGGAGCGGGCTCTATTAATCGAGTCTGCTGGAGCGTGGTCATTACCACACCGTAGCCAGCCTCTGTCTTGTGTATCAGCGTCCCCACGCTTCAAAATGATGGTGGGGGCACTTTAGCTAAAGCCCATTCGACAAGCTTTAGATCAGGGGTGGGCAAAATGTGGCCCACAGGCCAGATGCAGCCCACCAAGCCATTCTATCGCGGGACCCCTAAAAAATTTAGAAAATTAATATTTAGCTGCCCCTGGCTGCCTGTCATGCAGCCCTCGATGGCTGGCCAAAACTCAATAAGCGTCCCTTCTGCCTAAAATAATTGCCCACCCTGCTTTGCCCACACTGCCATTTTGAAGCACGGGGATGCTAATACACAAGAGGGTCCGGGTGCTTTAATTAGAGCGGCTTTTAGAGCCATTCTAATTAAAGTGCCTCCCCTCCCCACACACACACCCCCACACACTCCCGTAGCATGTGTAAAAATGCCTTGTGCAATAGCTCCGCGTGGTAGACTTCAAAGGCTTGGAAAAGCTTTTGATGGAGAGAAGCAGAAAGTCTGCTAGCTAATTGTGTTACATCCTTCAAAGTAGCATTGCATCTTGAATGATAAGGTGAATACTACTGCTAGTCACTGAGGGCTGTTTTTCCCTTCTGTCTCACGACCAAAGACCAAGGCTTGTGCTTTTGGTAGTCGGGATCCCCAGGTCCGCTCCCTGCTTGCGACCTCTAACACTAGTGCAGTTTATTGGACCTGCGTGCAGTTAATGTGGTAGACTCGCTAGAAAGGAAACGGTTTTCACGTTGCTTTCTGCACATGGGCTGAAGGGAAGGAAACCGCTGGCAGGGGAAGATCTGGCTGTTGTCTTGATCATCTTTTCCAGCCCACCAGCAGGTTGGTTATGGAGCTCAGGGCACCATAATTGCAAAGGAAGTTGCTGGCTAAGTTCTCCGTAGATGTCGGAGACCTCGAGGACCCTTCCCTGGGGCAGCACTGTCACTGCCTGTAGTCCAAGGGGACCAGAACCGAAAATAAGCACTGGCTTTCCAAACAAGTACAGGGCAAGCCTTTCCTGTAAGCATTTTGCTTTGATATTTAGGTCTTCGACTCCCAGCACTTCCTTTTCCCCTGGGTATTTACTCTGCCCAAAACTTTCAAGGGTGATTAGAGATGTCAAGTGCCTCAATTTGCACAGCCACTGGCGGTAATATCTGAACACTCGTGACACACGGGCCAGGTCCCGGAGGACTGGAAAAGGGCCAGTGTGGTCCCCATTTTCAAGAAGGGGAGGAAGGAGGACCCGGGCAACTATAGGCCAGTCAGTCTCACCTCCATCCTAGGCAAAGTCTTCAAAAAAATTATCAAGGCTCACATTTGCGAGAGCCCGGCAGGACAAATTATGCTGAGGGGAAACCAGCACGGGTTCGTGGCAGGCAGATCATGCCTGACTAATCTAGTCTCTTTTTATGACAAGGTTACGAAACACCTGGACACAGGAGTAGGGGTGGATGTCGTATACTTAGACTTCAGGAAGGCCTTCGATACGGTATCCCACCCCATACTGGTGAACAAGTTAAGAGACTGTGACTTGGATGACTACACAGTCCAGTGGGTGGTGAATTGGGTGGAGGGTCGCACCCAGAGAGTCGGGGTGGATGGGTCGGCTGCGACCTGGAAGGGTGT